CTGGGAGGTGATTTCATTATTGACCTGGGTCTTCAAAACAACCCTCAAGTTGACTATTTCCGTAACAGCATGCACTCCTGTATGCTAATCCCCACAATCACCAAGCCCACCCGAGTCACTCAAACATCTGCCACTACCCTGGATCACCTATGGACTAATATAACAGCTCCCCTTACATCTGGGTAATTTATGACAGAACAACTGACCACTATCCTACCTTCCTCATAGCAAACATGGACACATCACCACCAGAAACCAAGAAACTCTCATTCAGGCTACATAGTGAATCAGCTTTAGGCAATCTCTCTAACGCACTTCACAATATTAACTGGGAATCTGAATTTAATAATACACAGGATATAAACTCATTAACTAATCTCTTTCTCTCCAAAACTCTAAGCCTCTACAACACTCACTGTCCCCTCCTTACCAAACAAGTAACTGATAAAAGAAAAAATAACCCGTGGCTCACAAGTGGCATAATCAAATCAATCAACAAAAACATAAATATGAAAAAAAATTTAGGATTGGCCTAGTTACAAAGGAAGTAGTTAAAAGGTACTCATCAGTGCTTACCAGTATCATAAGAAAAGCTAAACTTTCATATTATGAGACTAGATTCAAAGAAGCAAAAGGCAACATGAAAAGCACATGGAAAACCATCTCTAATATCCTGGGAACTAAACAACACTCCCACAACCAGATAACACTCTCTAAGGATGGCCTTACACCTTCATCTGGTTTTGAAATGGCGAATGAATTTAATAGCTTCTTTTCACTGGTTTATGCTAACCTTGCCAGTAAAATCCCACAGACTCAGACACATATCAACACATATCTCTCAGGCAGCTATCCAAGCTCTCTTCTCCTTTCACCAGTCAGCCCGACAGATGTTGTGTCCATCATACACTCACTAAAACCCAAAGCTGGGAACATCAGTGAAATCCCATCCATTATATACAAGAGCGCCTCCCATGCCCTTGCGCCACCTATAGCTCTGCTGTTCAACAAATCCCTTAAGTGTCATACCTTCCCTGATATCCTTAAAAAAGCATGAGTAACGCCAGTTCATAAAGGAGGTAATCCGGCAGACATAAACAATTATAGACCAATATCAAATCTACCCATACTATCAAAAATATTTAAAAAAATTATCTACAAACAGCTCTACTCCTATCTCGTAAAATTCGACATTCTTAGCTCCTGTCAGTTTGGCTTCCGCTCCCATAAGAGTACCAACGATGCAATTATTAATCTCCTTGATATAATTTACTCAGCCCTTGACAAAAATGAGTTTCCGATTGGACTCTTCATTGACCTGAGAAAGGCCTTTGATACTGTTAATCACAATTACCTCTTACGTAAACTCCATCATTATGGAATCCGAGGCCATGCACTGGACTATATCCAATCCTATCTTAGTGATAGACACCAATATGTAGCCATCAATAATATAATAAAATTAATGAGATAATCCTATCCCTTAAAACCAAGTCCTTGAGGAGATACCAACTTTAAAAGAGATGGTAATTTCGGAGTATTTAACGGAGTAACCCTGTGGGCGGTAATGGCCCCCTACCGACCCTGTGGACGCCCTACCGACCCTGTGGGCGGTAGTGGACCCCATACCGACCCTGCGGGTGGCAGTGGACTCCATACCGACCCTGTGGGTGGCAGTGGACCCCATACCGACCCTGTGGGCGGTAGTGAACCTCCTGCCGACCCTGTGGGCGGCAGTTGACCCCCTACTAACCCTGTGGGCGGTAGTGGAGGACCCTTTACCGACCCTGTGGGCGGCAGTGGACCCTATATACTAATCCTGTGGGCGATACTGGACCCTATACTCATCCTGTGGGCGGCAGTGGACGCCATACACATCCAGTGGGTGTTATTAGACCCCATACTTATTCTGTGGGTGGTTGGAGCCCCATACCCATCCTGTGGGTTATAGTGGACGCCATACTCATCCGGTGGATGGTATTGGACCCCCATACCCTTCCTGTGGGTGGAAGTGATCCCCAAGTTTGCAGTAGTTTACCCCATAAACATTCCAATATAACATCGTTTTCTGTTAGCGTTCCTACAAAACATTCTTTAAAGATTTTTAAAGCGCAAACTATGGTATGTAATATTGATTGGTGAAGCACTGTTATTGTATGTAATAATTTATAGTGCTTATAATAATTTACTAAGAACAACTAATATTTCTCACAAAACTACGAGCCTTCAATAGGATGTAGCTGATCTGTAATATTCTAAGAGTATGGACAATAGTAGGTCAATTTCACAACCCATGTGGGACGTGAAAACTACAATTTTCATTATAATTGAACCAATCACGACTATTCTGCTGTCTACGTTGATGGACGGGTACTGTGAGACGTAAATTGGCACGTGAGGAAGAGTTTGGGCCTTGATAAAAAAGGTAACTGGAAATATATCACATATGTACTAAATCACATTCAACATATTGACTTTAAGCATTAAGTCATATGTGTGCTGTCTTGTGTGAGAACGGGTTGGAAAGTAATAGGTCTAGGCTGGTAGATAACCATACTTATCATCCAACCATCTCATTCATTCTAACATCCCACCAACCAATCACCGTACCACAGCAGTCATCCAATCATTCAACCCTCCCAGTCATCCAATCATCAAACTCATCCTTTCAATATGACCTGGCAGCCGGAAGAAGCGCGTCGGAAGCTTCTCCGTAAGTGATCATTTTAAGCATTTAAAAATAACTGTATCGCTGCCATTAGTACACTCAAATTTTACTTAATTACCTGTGAAAAGGAATTAAACCAAGGTTTAAGTTAACTTGCTCAAAGACACAGAAAAGTTCTCACCATTGTTGAGGAGTGACGTCCTCAGCCACCAGACACAACCTAACCCCGTCCTCGCAAAACTGACATCTCCCGTTTTCTATTAGTGGGTCCTTGGTTAGGTTAGGTTCGGGCAATTTAGTGCATCAGTTTAGTAATGTTGGAATGCTATGATGTTTCGTAACTCACTTTTTGACCTTAGGGGGATTTATACATCAAAATGTGATGTCCTATTCAGGAGGACTGGTCGCAGTAGAGCCTTGGAAAGACCTCGATAAGCCTGAAGTTTTCTCTCCCAGACAATGGAAAATCATAAGATATGCTTGAAGAGTGCAGCCCAAACGCCGTCAGAATGAGAATATTGGGGTCTCCCCTGTTATATAATTTCGCTGGAATAAAAGAAAATGACTGAAAGATTTTCAGGGTTAACTTCGTATAATATATACGAAATATATTTTATATACATTTATATATTAATATATTTATATATAGTATACGTAGCAATATATTTTTCCTCTGTTATTATTTTTTTATCTATATATACAAGAGTTCTTACATTCTTGTACAGACACTAGCACGCACAGCGTTTCCGGCAGGTCCTTAATCCTAATTGTTCCCCGGAATACGACCCGCCAAATCGTTTAACAACAAGACATCCATTCACTGCTGGGTGAACAGAGGCTACAGTTAAGGATTGGCGCCAAGTCAATCCTCCCCGGCTTGGATACTTACCCAGGCCAAAATGCTTGCGAAGCGCCGTGCGAGTGATTTACCACTGCGCCACAGGGACTTCTCGAAACTTCGAAATTATTAGGAACTGCAAACCTATTAGGCATATCGACTTACCCTAAACCAGCGACTGGGCTTTTCCTGAATGCATCCCTCAACTGTTGCTTAACTTCCAAGTACTTATTTACTGCTTGGTGAACAGATGCATAAGGAGAAATGAAATATTACGAAAAAGCTCTTGCCCTGCCGCAGGAAATTAACCCTGGCACTTTTCGGCTGTGACCGGACTGCGCTTACCTCTGCTCCATAGTTAACAAAGAAATAAAATATGAAATTTAACATTTTACAGTGAGGTAACAACTTCTGAATATAGTATTATGGTAAAATGTGATGTTAATGAGAAGTGAAATGATGTCACCGTGGCGCAGTGGGTGACATCATACTCACCGGGAGCTTCACGAGTGCTTCGTATTCTGGCCGGGGAGGATTGACTGGGCTCCAAACCTTAATTGTAGTCTCTTTTCACCCAGCAGTAAATGGGGTACCTGGTTGTTAAACGATTTGGCGGGTCGTATTCCGGGTAATATTAGGATTAAGGACCTGCCCAAAACGCTATGCGTGCTGGTGGCTGTACAAGATGTAAGAACTCTTGTATATATAAATAAAAAAAATTAATTAATGTCGACGAAAGAGTTATATTTTTAGAGAGAACAGTACAAGGTGAGTTGGTAGCACAATGTGAGGAAATTAGGTGATACTTGTTATACTTTTGAGTAAAGTATAAATGTGTAAGGTGTGTTTGAGTTGGTCTATAGTTAGTCATCACTGAGCGAGCTGCTTCATAGTTTCCGCGAAGACTCCTGACCTAACCCGTTCTCCTCAAATAGTGCATCGCATTTTGACATATAATTTCCCTAAGGCCAAAAACTGATAAAAATAATAATAGCGTCTCGCGAAATTAACGTAATGTTCCATTCTCTGTTCGTGGGTCCTCGGATAGGTTAGTGATCAAACTAACTTCCTTAAATACCAAAATTTAAAAGATAGCGACCAAATAAGCTGCTCTCCCATAAGAAACAGCTCAACACATAGAATCTATATCTCGCCTGCTGATAAGGTTATTACCATGAGGAATCTCGTGACACGTGCAGCATATCACGACGATGAAGTGAAGAAAGCTAAACTGTCTTCCTCCATACTCAGGACTCACCTCACACACTCAGGTGAGGGGTAGTGTTATTGCCTCCCAGCGCAGCCGCCGCCACTGTCGCTACCCAGGTGTGCGTGGTGATGAGGGACGCCCTCACACCTCATCTCTCTCTCTTACCCTGCACCCAGTGTGACTCATAGGTAGGTGAGACTGTGGTAGGTAGACCTCGTACTCTGTCCACCATAAGACTATGGTGTGTGGGAAGGTCTCCAGCTGGCCCAGTACACAGGCTCAGTGAGAGGCTCCAGTGTGAAAGTGGTGGTGATAGGAGGCTGACATGTGTGTATCAGTTTACAAGGGTCTCACAACCGCTCAGATATAAGGGGCAGGTATACCCCCCTCCCTTATCTCTTGGGCTTATAACAGTAAACTTGATGGAGTCGTCATAAGAGCAGGTTCCTGGCTAGAGATGATGTTCATCGGCTTGGTGGTGGTGCTGGTGGGATTACCCATCGGCCACTTGTGCACCAGCCACACCACACAAGGTGAGAATTATTTACCAAACACCAAAGTATTTCTCTATGATTATGTAAACTTGAATATTCGACTTGGTTAATATATCCCAGGTATAAATGTTGCTATGCCACATTATTAAGTCTAAATTATAATGAAAGTTTAGTACCCTCCACGCCACCTCTCTCTCTCTCTCTCTCTCTCTCTCTCTCTCTCTCTCTCTCTCTCTCTCTCTCTCTCTCTCTCTCTCTCTCTCTCTCTCTCTCTCTCTCTCTCTCTCTCTCTCTCTCTCTCTCTCTCCTTGATGAATCCGTCCCTCACTGTTGTCTCCCGGCACGGCAGGAGAGGTGAGGGTGTCTGAGGGGTCTCCGGTGGTGTACGTGGCCGCCGTGCTCGAGTACGAGCCATATAACCTGTGGACGGAGGATGGAGGCGGAGAGGCCATCGTCAGGGAGAACTCTCGCGTCCTCGCTGAGTACACCGCCCTGGCCAAGGCTCAGGTGAGGCTTACTACGACGCTGTAAACTTATAGAACCTCCCTTCACCCTCTTGCCTAAATCTTCCTTTAATCTCTCCGGTCCTTTTCCCTACTGTGGCCTTACCTCCTGTTATGTGTATTGTAGGGCGTGGACATCCTTGTGGCTCCGGAGTACGGAGTTGAGAGTCTGAATATGCATCCATTCATCCCAGATGATCTCTTCTCCCTGATGCTGTTCGTCCCTGACCCTGACCTGAGGGTAACGCCGTGTGCCGTGGACGCCGACCTGGGCCACGTTGAGGTCAGAAGGGGCGGGGGTCATTGACATACTCTTCATACGGTCATACTGACATACGGTCTGTACTTTAGGTTTTCTGTTGTTGTAGTACTTTATGAACATTGTTGTTCAACAGAAATGTATTGTTTATGGGGTAGTTTCAAAGACGAGCAGCTAATATTAAAATATCTATATATTCAAACCAACAGTAAGGTCTTTATATGCATTTCTCTCGTAAATCTGGACTTTGCCAGAGATGAATTTTTTATGGCCTCTTAGTAAACTTTTTCTCTCAAAACTCATCAGATTGAAAATGCTTCCTAATTAATTACTCTAAGACATCGTAAATAGCCATCGTACGATAGCCACGTGGCGCTACGTGTGAGGAGGGTGAACCCGCTCGGTAACACACCACAATAATGGTGTCGACTATTGCACCTGTTTGATGACGACCGTCCAGGAGTTACTACAGTAACTCAGCAAGTAAACATGTTGAGATGTGTGACGTGGACGTGATCATACTGATGATCACGTCCATGTGATCATCGTACTCTTAGTACTCATCATAGTAGTCTTCGTTCACTAGCTCTTTACAGTAAACACTGGTCTTAAATGTCTATCACTTCCTTATTAAGACTCCAGGCATACAAGTAGATTTCGTACACATTGATTAATCTTCAAAGTTATTAGTGGTCTGAAGAGTACAGTGAACTTCACCTGTTACTGCAAACCACCACCAACAGCTCGCTTGATCCAACCATACACAGCACTATAACAATCTGGATCTTATTTTCCTTTATTACTATATCTACATCAAGCTAAGTCTGTCTATTCGAAGGCAAAGGTATAAGCCAGCACCTGGCAGTATTGCTCCGTGAGAAGAGACGCAGATGTGCCAAGAAAACTTTGAAATATTTATTTTCCTTAAGCATGTGTAAATGAGTGCCTCCAAGCACTCGTGTGTTATAATGCTCCCATACGTGAGATGATCTTCACACACACCTGGTTCACTTGGATATAAACATGACATACCTCATACGGATCCTTACGGGCTCACTATAGCCCGTGCTACATGGACATTTCCTTCTGAGTAGTTAAATCTAAATTAACAAAACATTATACAGATATCAGTGCTCATAAGGGAAGGATATTTGTCGTTAACTCGTCAGGTGGAGTGATTGCATCACTGCTCCTTGCTCTCCTAGACCGACCGATCCTTACACGGCGTCGTCCTGCACGTCACAGACGCAGGGGTATGATATACAACTTGTTACAACGAGTGGATATCACAGTATGTAGATCTTGTATAGATGTCACACCTGCGTCAGTGTAGGAGAAAATCCAGGCAGAGATGGGTGGGTCCACCTCTTACAGGTGCCTGGATTACAGGGAGTTCCTGAGCCAGAGAGTCATCTGTGTCCTGATTAGTTAATCAGTTATAAGATTATAATCATCTGAAATGCCATCTATGATATTCCAGGTAATCAGATTATGTAACTTGCCTGATTGGCAATCCCTGATTGGCCGAGATAATAATTACATGGCGAGGGCGTGGAAGATTCTGCAACGATCTGAAAGTCTCCATTTTAATTGCCCGATGAAAAGCAAACAATTACAAATAAAAACATAATGCAACATACAATATCATCTGCCATAACAATATAACATTACAAAAGTCCAGAATTTGTACTACATGGTATAATTACCGACGTCTGTCTGTTGAGATGTGCACATTCCGGACATTATAAAATATCTTCATTGTTTCTGCCTCGACAATGACGTCACCTAAATGCTGGTGATGTTACGGTATGCTCCCGAGGCCCTGGAAGCTGTTCCTCTATTCCTCTTCCTCCCTGACAGGCCCTGAGAGCCCTGAGCTGTGCTGCCCTGGAGAACGAGATCTACCTGGTCGTGGACCTCGGGGAGGCGAGCCCCTGCAGGAATGACACGGCCGGCAACAACCCCTTTCAGAACGTCCTGGACACCTCATACAAGTGTCCAGAGCGTGGCTACATCTACTACAATAGCCAGGTTGTTTTCGATAGGAGCGGCACTGTCATCGCCAGGTTGGTTTACCTTAATCGACAGGCAGTGAATCGTGGTTTGTTCTATCTGTATAGATGCATAGGGTCGAGTTTGTGGTCTGCTCTTTCTAAAGATCAACAGATCGACAAAAACAGTAGCTTGGTCTGTCGTTTGTTGTGATCATGGCAAAGTTATTCTATAAGTTCGTTGAAATTAACCAAAGCAGGTTCCCTTGCTTGAATACAACCTAAAAGGTGTCTTTTACTCAGGCACGACCTTTGAAGCTTTCAATTTCATATGGGTTGAATCCGCTCAGACTCCCGTGACTAGAAGACACCCGTCACCTCACAACGATCCCTCACCCCATCGTTGCCGCAATGTAATAGAAGAGGGCGTTGACTGGGCCTTCTGCCACCAATACCTGACCACTACCACTGATAAGGAGTCTACGAGAGCACCTTCAGGGCAGTCTTAGCACGCCCCTTGGTGTTATAGGGACGCAGGCAACACATTGCGACTAGTTCCTTCTGCAGTCCGCAATAACAAAGACACTTGTGGCCGCAGGTACCGCAAGAAGAACCTGTACCTGGAGGCGAGCTTCAAGCCGGGCACGGAGAGTGACGAGACTGCCATCTTCACCACAGACTTTGGCGTCACCTTCACCCTCCAGGTCGGTCTTCACGTCTTAAAGTTAACCTTTGCTCCTGATGGTCAGTCTTTGTATGCCTGCAGGGTAGCCTTCCACCTTACGAGCTTTCTTTAGTCTTAATCCTTCCTGGTTAGCCATTATCTAAACCTAGACCAGCCTTTTCCCCTTCAGATCAGCCAGCTCCACTTTCTCTCCATGAGAACTTTCTTTCATGTTACCTTTATTCCAAGTCACCCTTTTAAAGCGACTTTTCTCCAGGCCAGTGTGTATCCCTCCAGGTCAATCCGCATTCACCGCTCCAGGTCATGATTCCTCCAGGTTAGTACTCGTCCCTCATATTACCCTTCCCTAAGGTCAGCTTTAGCCTTAAAGATCACCTTATCTAAACATTCGAGGAACTGCATTAGAGAAATTTAAATTCTTTAAATTCTTTAAGTTCCAGAGGTGAGGACAGGTAGTCCTAGAGACGAGTTCTATAAGACACGGCCACATGACGCAGTAAGATTATGGTAGTGTGGGTGAAATTACCCATGACTAGTTGCGGTTATCCTAGTGCTTGGCAACATTATACATGTGTAACATTATCCACATGAGAGTGACTATATCCAGCATCAGGTGACAACAGCGGTGCCAAGAGACGCCCCAAATAATTCAAGCTGACAAGATTTGAGTAGAGTCAGGTGGACATTAAAGCGTACACAGTCATGAAGAACGTTTGGACATGAAGGTAATAAGATCAAGGAGCGAGAGAGTCACTTGTTCCGTGTAATTAATCCAGATGTTTTCCGGCAGGTGTGCTTCGATATCGCCTTCTTCCACCCTGGCGTGAACAACGTAGTGACTCACGGCATCACAGATGTCGTCATGAGCACAGCTTGGGTTGATTTGCTCCCCTTCACACTCGGTGAGATCACCCAACCCATCCTCCTGAAATGATAGTTCTTTTCGTAACTATTGGGTCGAGAGTACCAATATGTAGCATTGGAGTTCCGGTAAAACACGTTGTGCACTTTTATTTTTATAGAGTCCGGAAAAATAAAGCGAAAAACCAAACTTAATTATTCCTAGGCCTAGTATATCATATACATGTACTATATTTGGCCTAAGATAGCGTTTATTAGGCCTAGGATTGCTAGGGGAGGTTATGTCTTCTATTTATATTGCTAATAAACATGTTTCCGGTTTGTCCAAATTCAATAATACGAAAGTCATCTTTCTGATGGTCCACTATGACAGTTGTGTACTTTTGACCACATAGTTACTGTAAGTGCTCTCACTTCAGGAGGTCGGGCTGTAATACTCCAATACGTATGTTGCTGTCGTTACCTTGGAAAACTATATCAAAACAGATCTTCATTTGGTATTATAATTATATAGTCCAATCTATCTTGAGGTTATCTTGAGATGATTTCGGGGCTTTAGTGTCCCTGCGGCCCGGTCCTTGACCAGGCCTCCACCCCCAGGAAGCAGCCCGTGACAGCTGACTAACACCCAGGTACCTATTTTACTGCTAGGTAACAGGGGCATAGAGTGAAAGAAACTCTGCCCATTGTTTCTCGCCGGCGCCCGGGATCGAATCCGGGACCACAGGATCACAAGTCCAGTGTGCTGTCCTCTCGGCCGACCGGCTCCCAAATCTAATGTGATACCTTAATTTTCTTCACGGCTATATCAGTATCCAGTCTATGCGAGGTCTCTCCTAGCTCTAGTCTTTCAAATTGTAGCCTTTTGTGCTTCAGTATGATCAATCGTTCAATTAATCTTTAGATTACAATTGTATACTTACTGTATACAGTAAGTATATAAACTGTATACTTACCTAGTTGTGCTTGCAGGGGTGAGCCACCGCAACTAACGGGGTTTGCGGGGCTTGTATATGTGTGTGTGTGTGTGTATGTGCATTAATTCACAAGCCACTAATACTATCTCAACATTTCCCTCAGCTCCGCCAGTGCAGAACACTTGGTCTCGAGAACTGGGAGTGAATCTGATGGTTTCCGGCTACCACCTCCCAGAACGTGCAAAACTGGGCTCCGGCATCTACCGTGGTTTCTCCGATCTCTCCTTCACTTACACTTACGATCCTGATTCCGGCAACCAGATGATCGTGTCAGAGGTCGAGACGGTCGCCTCCGTCAGCGGCAAGTATCGGCCATCCTCCAGAGTTCCTGGCATGAGGCACATCAAGTTAGGTGGGAAGACCAAGGTGATGGCCGGTGGCTCAGTGGAGGCTCCCAGTGCCCAAGGCAGACACCATCAGATCTACTACGACGACTTGAGCAACTATACACAAGTGGTGCTCCCTCAAGGTGGGCCTGGCGAGACGCAGCAAGTCGAAGCATGTCACCAGGACGGCCTCTGCTGTACCCTCACCTACAGCCTCACGTCGTCTCTCAACTACTCTTTATTGGCCTACAGTGGCATCATCAGTGAGGGAGATGGTGTGTACAAGATCTATGCTCAGGTGTGTGCCGTGGTGTGGTGCCACACAGAGGACATCAACACTTGTGCTCGAGTTAACGACGGCCTCCCGCAGAACGACGAATTTGGCCCATTTACGATTTCGGGAAATTTCAGTATTAATTACGTCTATCCATCAATATTTACCCGCAACCTGACCCTCGTCGCCAACGACCAATACACCACCACTAATGACAGAGGCACTCGCACCATCACCACACAAGAGCCCACGCCAGATCTCCTCTCCACTTTTCTCTACGGCCGCTGGTACGACCGCGACCCATAAGCTCCCTGGTGAAGAGAGCCAAGAGTGCAGAGACGAAGGAGAGAGAGAGAAGAGATACTTTAGTATATGCAGAATTTATCTCTCCTTATCAGCACTCCACCATACAAGTAACCCAACAGGGCCAATAATATTAATGGTTCCCCACACAGTAATATGGAACCACCAGAGTTATAATGTGTTCAAAACCACACCAGCCATAACAGATACCTCTATACATAAGGAAAGATGTATTCCACCTAAACGATAAAACAGCGGGTCATTCTTCTTTGTCTGACGCAAAACTTCACCGCTTAACAAAGGCTGTGTGTAAGAAGGATGTTTGATCATTAATTAACCAAACCTTACATAGATCGCTGACGGAGAATAATATGCCACAGTAAACAACAGTGAATTTTTAGTATTATGGGATAAATATATAATATAAAGCTTGATAACAAATTCTATAATATATGTATTAAGTGCATGCTGAACTCCCAACAATGTGAAGTATCTAGGAGAAAATATTGAGGCCGTGCAAAGGGATCGAACCCTCGTCCCTGGACTCGGCGGTATTTATTGGGCAGGAGTTGGCCAGCACCAGAGAGTAATCACACACCAGCCCTACACATCTCGCGGCCAGGATCATTAACAGCAACACATACTCTCTATCATACTTCTATTAATCATCATACAATCTAATCCACAATCAGCACAAATTTAATACATAATATCAACTGAATATTTGCTTAGTTGCAGTTTTGCAATATAAGACATGAACAATAGGCCAATAACAAGGAACTTCAAGAATCTTAATTAAATCATTAAGTAAACCCAATCTGCGACATATTGACTAAGTCAGACTTTTTTTGCCCCCTGTGAGACTCGAAGGCTGTTGCCAGATATGATAACAGCAAGCAGTTCCCACGTTATCTAACCCAGAACCTTTAACGACCACACTTTAGTCCTGTTTGTCATCCAGAATATTAGCTAGGTGCTCTACCATCCGGCCAAGTTAAAGACTCGGAGAATAGTCATATGTGAAGACCTTCAACATAACTTTGTAGATCTGAGACAGTGAATTCTACACTGGATATTCAGTCTCTTATTAACATATTACCCGGCAGGAAGAGCCACCTATCTATGCATCATTTGTTACAATAAGCAGACGTCCTTAACTACTGCTCGGCTTAGGCTCTGTCAGGAGTACCTCCGGAGATGTGCACCGTCTGAGGATGCATATTTGACCAAATGTAAACTGTATCTGAAAATAATTCGCACGCCCTGTATCACTCTGTGATGAAATGTAAAAAAAAAAACAATTCAGGGGAAAACTGCCACAAATAATAAAGAAATATTTACATACTTAATTTTAAATTATATATATCCAAAAATCTTAGCCAAGTATGCCCAGTATGCCTACTGAAGGTCAGGCATACACAGAACAACACCAGTATAGCCTGGTGGTCTGGTGAGCCAACATTTCTGTCTCAGTCTAGTGACGATGGTACACCCTACGAGTCTCTAAGGACTTCCTCCACAAAAGCAGCAGAGACGTTTTTTGTTTACAGTGTTGACCTTTACAGAGTACTTCATCACACTCGTCAGACCAGTTGTGCCGTGAGAACCTGGACGGGGTTCACGCCTTGCCTGCGACGCTCCTCCACCAAGCCTAACACTCTTCACCACTCAGGTTCTCTGTGTAAAGTCTCAATATTTAGGTTCCTTAGGTGCTTCGCCGACGACCTCTCTTCCAAATGAGAACATCCCTACTTTCAATGGGCAGCACGTAAAAATTAACGAACGCGTCCTGGGGGAACGGCCGCTGCTTTAACGAGCCTGGGGCCAGATTCACGAAGCAGTTACGCAAGCACTTACGAACCTGTCCATCTTTTCTCAATCTTTGGCGGCTTTGTTTACAATTATTAAACAGTAAATGAGCTCCGAAGCACCAGGAGGCTGTTTATAACAATAACAACAGTTGATTGGCAAGTTTTCATGCTTGTAAACTGTTTAATAAATGTAACCAAAGCCGTCAAAGATTGAGGAAAGATGTACACGTTCGTAAGTGCTTGCGTAAATGCTTCGTGAATCTGGCCTCTGGCCCCTGAGAACGGGTTGCTGTATTCGCCTAGTTGTGCTTGCGGGGGATGAGCTCTCTGCTCTTTCGGCCTGCCTCTCAACTGTCAATCAATCAACTGTTACTAACTCCCCTTCTCCCCCCCCACACCCACACAATTAATGTGTGATTCATGATTCAAAACACACAATTACGACACCGTATCGTAGGTGTGTGTTTTGACGTCGTGTGGTGGTAACGGTGGTGTGTTAGTAGTGTTTTGTCTTTTTTGGACGGAATGGTGATAAGAACTTGTGGTAGTGGCAGCAGAAGCGGTTGGTGGTGACAGAGGGGTGTGTGTGTGTGGGGGGGGGGGGGTGCCGGAGACTCGTTGTGGATAACGAGGAACTTAACGAGGGAGCGCAGTTGAGGGGTGTGAGGATCCTGGGGGAGGGGGAGGGGATCGGTGGCTGGGACATCTCATTACTCCCCCTCCCCCCAAGCATACTACACCACTACACCTCCCACAGGTCACTAACCTACTCTCTCTCCATTGTGTTAACCTTTCATGCCATGCTATGTGGGGACATGTTGTGTACACTCACCCCTGTATTTCAATGAAGGGCTCGCTCCCGTCCAACCTCTAGGGCTGGACGGTAGAGCGACGGTCGCTCTTCATGCAGGTCAGCGTTCAATCCTCGACCGTCCAAGTGGCTCGGCACCATTCCTTCCCCCCCCCCCCACCAGTCCCATCCCAAATCCTTATCCTGACCCCTTCCTAGTGCTATATAGTCTTAATGGCTTGGCGCTTTCCCCCTGATAGTTCCGTTCCGTTCCCGGCCAGTCACCACCACCGGTCATCACACACAGTCACGCCTACAATCTCTACATCAAAAATGACAGTACATTTAGCGACTGTGACTGTAATGTACAAAATATGGACTGTTGTGCTAAAAAAAATAATCTTCTATTTGTACTGTTGATTTTGTAGAGGGGTTCGAAAAAGAAAGCCTAAAATAAAGTCTGCATATATTTGGGAGCCTGACGGCTGAGTGGACAGCGCTCGGGAGTCGTATTAAGGGTCAGGGTTCGATCCCCGGCGGAATTGGAAACAAACAGGCAGAGTTTCTTTCACCCTGATGTCTCTGTTCGCTTAACAGTAAATAGGTGCCTGGGAGTTAGACAGCTCTTACGGCCTGCTTCCTGGTGATGTGTGTGTGTGTGTGTGTGTGTGTGTGTGTGTGTGTGTGTGTGTGTGTGTGTGTGTGTGTGTGTGTGTGTGTGTGTGTGTGTGTGTGTGTGTGTGTGTGTCAAAATTAGGATCAAGAAGTTGCCCAAAACGTTATGCGTGCTAGTGGCTGTACAAGAATGTAACAACTCTTGTATATATAAATACAACACAACAAAAATAATACAAAAAAAGATGACTCCCATTGTCCTTGTAACGTCAGGGACCAGTTATAATAAGTCATATTTTATGTCGTAAGGGTCTTTCCCATGTCTGTGGTTGGGGCTGCCGTGCTCATCAACAGGAGTCATTGGTGTGTAGTCTTTCCACTGACTCAGCAAACCCCATTAGTAATGTATTAAGAAAACTTGCGCCTTTATGAGTACTTGTCAATGACTTTTCAGTGATAATTGAATGAGTAATGATAATTACCGGGAGTCCACCTTCTCTTTTGTGGACTCTAATGACCCGCGTGTCCACTCTCATGGACTTCCTGGTGTGGCTATAGAACAATTTGTAATGATGAACCGCCATTCTCCAGTATACACCATTCTCCATTGTACACCATTCTCCATTGTACACCATTCTCCATTGCACTAGTAACTCGTTCCTCGCCCTTCTGCATACATTGTCATTTCCATCTATTCTGTACTTAGTATTTCTATTTCATGCTGTTATGCCGGTTCTCTTTGCTTCAGGCGTCACCTGCTCATCCAACGATTAATGTTCTCAGGTAAACTGTGCACACGCGCGCTCGTGTGCGTGTACGAGCGTGCATGTGTGCACATATATTTTTGCTTTGATGTATTTATATGTGTAAAACCAACGTGGTTGGTGTAAAGATGACCTACATGACGCACCTGAGGTGTGAAGATGACCTACATGACGCACCAGAGGTGTAAAGATGACCTACATGACGCACCAGAGGTGTGAAGATGACCTACAAGACGCACCAGAGGTGTAAAGATGACCTACATGACGCACCAGAGGTGTGAAGATGACCTACAAGACGCACCAGAGGTGTAAAGATGACCTATAAGACGCACCAGAGGTGTGAAAATGACCTACATGACGCACCAGAGGTGTGAAGATGACCTACAAGACGCACCAGAGGTGTGAAGATGACCTACATGACGCACCAGAGGTGTGAAGATGACCTACATGACGCACCAGAGGTGTGAAGATGACTTACATGACGCACCAGAGGTGTGAAGATGACCTATAAGACGCACCAGAGGTGTGAAAATGACCTACATGACGCACCAGAGGTGTGAAGATGACCTACATGACGCACCAGAGGTGTGAAGATGACCTACATGACGCACCAGAGGTGTGAAGATGACCTATAAGACGCACCAGAGGTGTGAAGATGACCTATAAGACGCACCAGAGGTGTGAAGATGACCTACATGACGCACCAGAGGTGTGAAGATGACCTATATGACGCATCAGAGGTGTGAAGATGACCTACATGACGCACCAGAGGTGTAAAGATGACCTACAAGACGCACCAGAGGTGTGAAGATGACCTATAAGACGCACCAGAGGTGTGAAGATGACCTATAAGACGCACCAGAGGTGTGAAGATGACCTATAAGACGCACCAGAGGTGTGAAGATGACCTATAAGACGCACCAGAGGTGTGAAGATGACCTACATGACGCACCAGAGGTGTGAAGATGACCTATATGACGCATCAGAGGTGTGAAGATGACCTACATGACGCACCAGAGGTGTAAAGATGACCTACATGACGCACCAGAGGTGTAAAGATGACCTACATGACGCACCAGAGGTGTGAAGATGACCTATAAGACACGCCACGGAGGAGGAACATGCTTATGCACCAGTTCATTCTAGAGGGAATGAATAGGTGGGTGACGCTACACATACGTGACGATACTGCTGGAACCCACCACCACCACCCGCTCCTCCAGGTCGTTGTATCCTCCGCTGCCCCTCCGATACAACGCCTCCATAAAAACAAGACGCTCAGAAGAAACCAGGGGATTTCCGTGTGCGGGTGGGTTGCAGGCGGGCAAAAATCCGGACTGGATTCAGGTGGGCCGGAGGACTGCTGGGCAGGGCGGGCGGGTGCCCGGGAGGCCTGAGACTGGGGCATGCAAGTGGCCGCATATATAAGGCCGGGCGGGTAACTACACACCTACACTCCTTCCAGCAGCATCACTACTACGCCACTATGAAGGTAGGTTCCTGAACGCTAGACAAGTCGCTCCACTGACCAGAGTTTGCCCTGAGCTTAATTATATGTCATACAGGTACGTAATACACTTTGGTCGACGTGTTGAATCTCCAAGCAGTTCATCCATTACCAGGCCTGCAACACTTTTCGGCATGGTAACGGATAACCATGTTTGTCTTCGGCAACACTTAATAGTGTTGCCGAAAATAAGCACCTCCCCAACACAAAGCCAGCCACAACAACCTGCAAGTATGGTAAGATCCAGTTCTCTCTGTCTTTCTTCATAACTCAGTTCCTTTAGTTCAGAAACGAGTCTCGCTGCATATTTTTGGACCTTTTCTAGTTTCTCCTTGTTCTTTTTCGTGTAAGGGATATATGCTGGGGATGCATATTCAGGAGAGGGGGTTTCACCTTCACTGTGTATAGGGCCCCGGATAAAGCCACTTTGACCAAGTTTCTAAAGGATACGCGGACGCTGACCAGTATGCCATATACAGCTGTTATTCTGCTATTATGGGGTTTTCCACTCCCTTCATCCTATACTGCTGTACTAGTCTTCGCACGACTGTTCCAATCCTCAAAATTTTGCATTAGGCTGGGTTTCTTTGCATTTCTTGCAGCCATTTTTCAGACCACTCCGGAAGTGTGTCCAAATCCGTTTGAAATGCACCACACTTTATCTCGCGTGTATAAGTGCATGTATGCCAAAAGCGTTAGTATAAGATGTTTTAGTTATATTTTTATCTAAGTTGGTGCTCTCTGTTTTCAGGTTGTTCTTCTTGCGGCGCTCCTTGCAGTCGCCGCTGCCCAGGGCACAAAACCTCTAACCCCAGGTGCTGCCCAGGGCACAAAACCTCTAACCCCAGGTGCTGCCCAGGGCACAAAACCTCTAACCCCAGGTGCTGCCCAGGGCACAAAACCTCTAACCCCAGGTGCTGCTCAGGGCACAAAACCTCTAACCCCAGGTGCTGCTCAGGGCACAAGGCCTCTAATCCCAGGTACTACTCAGGCCAAAAGACCTCTAACCCCAGGTACTGCCCAGCGCACTAGACCTCCAACCCCAGGAACTACCCAGGTTTCAAATGTTCAGTCATCCAAGAAACCCGTGGACACGAGGGTAGGTGGAGGTCAGTTCCCTGGTGTTGGAGGCCTCTTACCAGGTGTGGGTGGAGGCTTCTTACCAGGTGTGGGTGGAGGCTTCTTACCAGGTGTGGGTGGAGGCTTGTTACCAGGTGGAAATGTGGCCCAGCCCGCTACCTGCCGGTACTGGTGCAAGACCCCTGAGGGCAAAAACTATTGTTGCGAGACCAATGATCAACATCCCAGCGAGCCTTTAGGGTATGGGAAGGTGGGCATCTGCCCTATCGTCCGCGCCGAGTGCACGCGATTTGGGATCGTGGGACCTCAAACCTGTGCCCATGACGACGCCTGCTACGGTGCCGACAAGTGCTGCTTCGACAGGTGCCTCGAGGAACACGTCTGCAAAACTCCAATCGCCTAAAGAGCCTTGACGTACACTTGCCGAGCTGATTTGTATTGGTTCTCTTGATTAAATTTACTTTTTAATTTGTTAATAACTGTGTTCTTTCCCTATTGTCTGCTAAACTGCAACAAACATTTATGCTTGTGGACGTGACACAGAACTTTGAAGCACAACACCCCCCCCCCCTACAGGTACATAACAACACTTCTCCTACAGGTAAACAATACGATACACAACAGCAATCTACAGGTACACGACATGGTACATCCCTACAGGTACACAACAACAGTCCCCCCCCAACCCCTTATATATATTTGTTATGTATCCTGTGTCTTCTGTCAGGCAAATTAGTTCATGTATCACACACTCCGCACCCATCCTGTAACCAGTGGTTTAAAGGTTACAGTGGCACATAATGAATTCAGGAACTTAACCCCAATATTCGGTTATCTATGCAATGATGAAATTTAGAGAACTGAGAGAGTGCTAACCAATCAGTAAAGGGTGACCAAGTTCCTGAGAATTCCCTCTCACAGCGCAATCTATGGAAATAAACAAGCAGATGTGCAAGCTGCTGAGGGTGCTACGGGAGACTATTTAGTACTGCATTCCCAAGCCTCTTATACACCTCAGAGGAATAACTAGGTAACATAGTAACAATGTAACCGAGGGAGAGGGGAAAGGAGTAAAAAAAAACAAAGTCAATGAATCTGTACGCTGGCACAAGGCAGTTGTACGGGAACAAATAAAGGAAGGAAGCAGACAGACGGTGATGGGAAGGAAGGAAGGAAGGAAGGAAGGAAGGAAGGAAGGAAGGAAGGAAGGAAGGAAGGAAGGAAGGAAGGAAGGAAGGAAGGAAGGAAGGAAGGAAGGAAGGAAGGAAGGAGCGGAAGAACTGCAAGTATACCCGACCGAGCTTGAGGGAAGTACAAAGGTCAGACCTTCCTAACAGGAAGTGATGTCCAGAGGTGCCAAGTCTTGCATAGTGGGACCCCTTAACGTCTTCCCTTCACCATCACATAAGATATAACTCTCCCCGTGAACCACATCACTAACAAAGTTACACACAAAAACTCCCAGAGAACAAAACGGTCAATATTTACACTGCCGAGGTTAAGGCCACGACCGAGAAATTAAATATTACAAACATGGCACCATCAAATTCCCAGGTGACGCACCCGGAGTATAAATGTCCCACACACCCCAGATGCTCTCACCACTCTCGCCTCAACCCTCGTGGAGAACATGGCAAGATTTTCCTCACAGAATTATCATGATTTCATAGTATTGAGAATACCAGCAACGCGAGGCTCCAGAGGCCGCTAATACTGAGAGTTAGTTAATTGATGGTGCGCTGAGTTACGGGAGAGAGGTCAGTGCCGTGAACAAACACCACAGCGAGAGTTACAGCGCCAGTAACACCACAGCGCCAGTAACACCACAGCAACACCACAGTGAGAATCAGGCGCCGTGTTACTGGACTCTGACATAAAACACACCTGCGGCCACCTCATAACATCACAGACTCCAACACAACTGTCAGGCTGCTAGACGCTAACACTGGCAATACATAATGGTAACACTGGCGCTATATAACACAACTGGCACTATCTCAAACTCGCTACCATTATACATTATCGTCAGTGGCACTAAAATCACAACTGTCATTAACGCTTCTACACCTGATGCTGTTACCAGTGGCACCAACGCCGCCACCACCACTGACAACACCTCCACCACTGACACCACTGCACAAGGGTACCGGCAGGTCCTTAGAGGTCAGAGGAAGGTCTTCCAGTCTGGGCCAGCTCGGGATGTGTGTAACCTGCACCACCGGCCCGCGCCCTCGTCCTCCTCCCTCTCCACGCCACCACCCCACAACCCACTAGCACCACCACTAGCACCACCACTAGCACCACCACTAGCACCACCACTAACACCACCACTAACACCACCACTAACACTACCACTAGCACCACCACTAGCACCACCACTAACACTACCACTAGCACCACCACTAGCACCACCACTAGCACCACCACTAACACCACCACTAGCACCACCACTAGCACCACCACTAGCACCACCACTAGCACCACCACTAGCACCACCACTAACACTACCACTAGCACCACCACTAACACTACCACTAGCACCACCACTACCACCACCACTAGCACCACCACTAACACTACCACTAGCATCAACACTAGCACCACCACTAACACCACCACTAACACTAACACTAACACTACCACTAGCACCACCACTAGCACCACCACTAGCACCACCACTAGCACCACCACTAACACCACCACTAGCACCACCACTAACACCACCACTAACACCACCACTACCACCACCACTAGCACCACCACTAACACTACCACTAGCACCAACACAAGCACCACCACTAACACCACCACTAACACTAACACTAACACTACCACTAGCACCACCACTAGCACCACCACTAACACCACCACTAACACTAACACTACCACTAGCACCACCACTAGCACCACCACTAACACCACCACTAACACTACCACTAGCACCACCACTAGCACCACCACTAACACCATCACTAACACCACCACTAACACCACCACTAACACTACCACTAACACCACCACTAACACTACCACTAACACCACCACTACCACTACCACTACCACTACCACTATCACCACCACTAACACTGCCACTAACACCACCACTAACACTACCACTAACACCACCACTAACACTATCACTAGCACCACCACTAACACTACCACTAACAACACCACTAATACCACCACTAACACTACCACTAACACCACCACTAACACTACCACTACCACTACCACTATCACCACCACTAACACTGCCACTAACACCACCACTAACACTACCACTAACACCACCACTAACACTACCACTAGCACCACCACTAGCACCACCACTAACACTACCACTAACACTACCACTAACACCACCACTAACACTACCACTAGCACCACCACTAACACCACCACTAACACCATTACTAACATTACCACTAGCACCACCACTAACACCACCACTAACACTACCACTAACACTACCACTAGCACCACCACTAACACCATCACTAACACCACCACTAACACTACCACTAACACCACCACTAGCACCACCACTAGCACCACCACTAGCACCATCACTAACACTACCACTAACACTACCACTAGCATCACCACTAGCACCACCACTAACACTACCACTAACACTACCACTAACACAACCACTAGCACCACCACTAACACCACCACTAGCACCACCACTAGCACCACCACTAACACCACCACTAGCACCACCACTAACACCACCACTAGCACCACCACTAGCACCACCACTAACACCACCACTAGCACCACCACTAACACCACCACTAGCACCATCACTAACACTACCACTAACACTACCACTAGCACCACCACTAGCACCACCACTAGTACCACCACTAGTACCACCACTAACACCACCACTAGCACCACCACTAGCACCACCACTAACACCACCACTAGCTCCACCACTAGCACAACCACTAACACCACCACTAGCACCATCACTAACACCACCACTAGCACTACCACTAGCACCACCACTAGCACCACCACTAACACCACCACTAGCACCACCACTAACACCACCACTAGCACCATCACTAACACTACCACTAACACTACCACTAGCACCACCACTAGCACCACCACTAGTACCACCACTAACACCACCACTAACACCACCACTAGCACCACCACTAGCACCACCACTAACACCACCACTAACACCACCACTAGCACTACCACTAACACTACTACTACCACTAGCACCACCACTAGCACCACCACTAGCACCACCACTAACACCACCACTAACACCACCACTAGCACTACAACTACCACTAACACTACCACTAGCACCACCACTAGCACCACCACCACCACTAGCACCACCACTAGCACCACCACTAACACTACCACTAGCACCACCACCAGCACCACCACTAGCACCACCACTAGCACCACCACCACCACTAGCACCACCACTAGCACCACCACTAGCACTACCACCACCACCAGCACCATTAACTAGCACCACCACTAGCACCACCACTAGCACTACCACTAACACCATCACTAACACTACCACTAGCACCACCACTAGCACCACCACTAACACCACCACTAACACTACCACTAGCACCACCACTAACACCACCACTAGCACTACCACTAGCACTACCACTAGCACCACCACTAACACCACCACTAGCACTACCACTAACACCACCACTAGCACCACCACTAACACCACCACTAACACTACCACTAGCATCACCACTAGCACCACCACTAACACCATCACTAACACTACCACTAGCACCATCAACTAGCACCACCACTAGCACCACCACTAGCACTACCACTAACACCATCACTAACACTACCACTAGCACCACCACTAGCACCACCACTAACACCACCACTAACACTACCACTAGCACCACCACTAACACCATCACTAACACTAAAACTAGCACCACCACTAACACCATCACTAACACTACCACTAGCACCACCACTAGCACCACCACTAAAACTACCACTATCACCACCACTAGCACCACCACTAACACCATCACTAACACTACCACTAGCACCACCACTAGCACCACCACTAACACCACCACTAACACTACCACTAGCACTACCACTAACACTACTACTACCACTAGCACCACCACTAGCACCACCACTAGCACCACCACTAACACCACCACTAGCACCACCACTAGCACTACCACTACCACTAACACTACCACTAGCACCACCACTAGCACCACCACCACCACTAGCACCACCACCACCACAAGCACCACCACTAGCACCACCACCACCACAAGCACCACCACTAGCACCACCACTAACACTACCACTAGCACCACCACCAGCACCACCACTAGCACCACCACTAGCACCACCACCACCACTAGCACCACCACTAGCACCACCACTAACAACACCACTAGCACCACCACTAGCACTACCACTACCACTAACA